GAGCTTTTGATTTTCTTGTCCCTCTTGCTCTGAAATGTGCTCCTGGTCCGTTGGTGCATAGTGAAGTAGGACAGTTTAAATGGCCTTCCAGAACAGTATTGCACATTGAAATGCTCTAGAAACATTTATATGTCCAGTTTCTTTCCATGCCTTGGAGGAGGGAACAAACACTTGCACCTGATAGATGGTGATTCCTGAAACTGCTCTATTACAGTTGGCTCTCACTACACCCTAAATAAAGCCAAGCTTTTATTGCTGAGTTCTTGTCTATGTGGTGGGTGGGCTGTGAGGACTACAGATTGAAAGGGATGGGGAGGACTGAGTTTAAACCTTACCAAATCACCTATTTATGGGTTCACACATTAGAAGGGTTGCTGAATGAACAGTTACAAGATTGAAAATTATATATATATATATATATATATATATACATATATATAAAAGGGATGTAAATGGATTAAAGCTAAACAAAATCCACCTTGTATTTTAAAGGGGATCTATGTTTAAAAGACTGAAGGCTTTGTTCGAAGCCTTAGAAATTTCCATCACTAGTTCATGCCTCTTAGTAGCAGGATTCTGGCATTCATGTGATAAGATGAAGGCTGTAGAATGCAATTTTAATTTGTGAGGAATGAGCTTTTCATTATTTTTGCTTTGAAACATAGGGTTAATGAGCATGTAGCAAGGCTCCATAGTTTAGCACCATTACTACAGTTCATCCAATTTAGAGGGAGAAAAAGAAATAAAAGGGAAGTGGAATTAGCACAAGAAAATTATACAGATGTGGGAATGACAGCTGAATGCTTAGTGTGAAATTTCCCTTCAAGGTTCATGCACATCCTCAAGGGATGGAGCATTTTGAAATGATTAGCTCTTCACATAGTAAAGCCTTCTTCCTTGCAGTCATGGCAACGACTCAGGAGCTCCCCTCTTTTCCCATCTCCTGTACCTTGGCAACAGGAATGCTGCAGGTTTTTAATCTATTCCTGTTTGGCTCTTCAGCTGCCCAGTTCAGCTTCTGAGTTTAGGTAACTTGCAAATGTAATTACCCACTGTTACTAATGAGAAAGGAGAGCTGCAAACTGGGAAATCAGCTGGGGACATGGCTTACTGTCACCCCTCAGGCCTTAGGATGCTGCAGGAGGGATGAATTTTGTCTTGTTTGGAGTCACCCTTGATGGCCCAATGGAACCTGGAATTGGCTTGGTTAATAACTAAGAGTGGAACAAGGTAAAATCTGCAGTTATCCTAGAAATCTGTTGTAAGCAGTCAGGGTTTTTTCTGTTTGGCTTTGGTTTTCTAAATTGTACATTCCTTTCTTTAGCATTTTCCCTGTGTCCATGATCTCACAGTTTCCTGTCAGTTATGTTTGCACAGTCATTCTTAGAAGCAATCTCTCTTTAACTCTGAAATTTGTCTGGACCCAGTAACTGGTAGAATGGTGGTGTTTCCATGTGGAGTTACCTGCTAAGTGTGTTGGCTAAATGGAGACTTAAGCCTACTCAGAAAACCATTGGGCTGTGGCCCCATTAAATAGACATATCTGTGAGTCATGTTAAGACTACCACTGCATACCCCTGGCAAGATATTGCAGTAGATGTAAAACATGGTGTTTTTCTGTCAGTAGTTTTCAGATCAGGTTGACAAGGTGGCGTTTTTCCCTTGACTTTCTTATATGTAAGTTGAAGTCATAGTCAGCACACTAAAATAATTTCAGCCATTTCCTGCTTCATGTAAAAGGAACAGAGAGGAAGTTAGCTGTTACTGTTGAGGGCAGTTTGAGAACTGACCAGAACAAGAACAGCCAGAATTAAAAAGATAGCCCGGAGCACACAGCCAGTACTGAGGGAACAGAAACCTGCACTGCCTCCTGCACTCCTGCATTTCCAGGGCCTGGACCATCCATCCCCTCCTTCTGCAGAAATGGTATGGGACAGGTGGGGGGGAGGAAGTTTCTGAAGAAGCAGACAGCTTTATATTCAGAGACTGTGGGTCTGACATCTTCCACGAGATCTTAAATAACAAAGTCAGGTTTGTTTATATATATTTGTCATCAGTCTTTGTATTTGGAACAAAGACTTCAAAGACTGGCCTTGTTTGTATGGTCAGTGCAGAATGTAACTTCATTACTGAGATCTGCACCTTCCCATAAACCTCAAGCCTTTTTCTCCTGCTTTGGGCAGGACAGTGCTTTAAAAAATCCCTGAAATATGCTTGGCAGTGTGAGATTTGGCAAGAACATTAACTGCTTTGAATAAATCAGATCATCTGAGCCAGATATTCTAGATCTACTGCATGACTGAAACTGGGGTTTATTACTGACTGAATGCAGACCTATTTTTTTGTGTCTACTAAAAAGCACTCTAAAAGGTAATGGTAATGTTGCTAAGGAGCTGCTTACCTGCCAGATGTATCTGTGTGATGCATGAGGTGACCATGGGAACCAATTTGGTGACAATAATTGAAAGAAAACCTTGCAGTGAAATGATTATTCCATGTATACTAAATGTTTCTGCAGTTGCATTCAAAAAGCTTGTTTGTGGGAAAGAGTGTAATAGCTAGAAATCCATTTAGAGAGAAGGGTCAGCATAGGTCCTGCATAAAAAATACATTACTAGAGCTAGTTTTTTTGATGTATATTTTACAAATCGTGTTTTGAAAATAAATAGGAAATCTGTATGGGCTTATCAACTTTGTGCAAATTTAAAATGGTTTGCTGTGTATTCCTTGGGGGTTCAGTCTTTTGCCTCATTTCATTTTTTGTAAAAAATTAATTACAGGTTGCTGTATTCCCCCCCGAGAACTTATTAACTATGTCTCTCTCTCTGAAGAGTGCTTGGCTCTCATGAGATAAAGTGCCTTAGGCTAAAAGCTGCTGATTCCATTTCCGATTCATGAAGAATTTTTTTAACTTATTTTTATCCTTACTGACACTTTTCACGAGTGATAACCAATAGCACTACATTGGGATCAAGGCTGTGATGATCTCCTCTGATAAAGGAAGTGTGTGCTGCACAGGTGATTCTTCAGGGGTTGAATTTTACTTGAAGGGTTAAGTACAAAGATTGTTTTAAAGCATATGTGCTGAATTCAAAGGGAATATTTTCAAATTTACTATAAGCATTACAATGGTAGGAAAACCTCATGTTGCTTGATATCTTTTGTTGGATATAGTTACTTAAAAGTTGCCCTCAGGATGCCACCAAAATACATGTCCTGAACACATGTTTCTGCCCTAAAGCCATTATGGTACCGTTCCCATTTAACTCAGGAGTGAATTGTGCAGGAAATCTGAAATAATGGCTGGTGTAAGATTGCATTAGAATTTGCTTCCTTTTTCAGTTATGGCCCAGCTGACAACTGTCATCTATATCTGTGTAGAGTAATTAAGAAGGAATCATTATAAAGAATTTATAATGGTAGGTAGACTTTGGATAATTAAGAGACATTTCAGTGCAAATAAAGAGGGGTGAGAATGATTGTGTTTCAGATGAGAAAATACAGAAAGTTGAAGTTCTGTAGGGTTCCACATGAATACTTTTATGGATTGGCTTATCAACAGACAGATTATTTCACCTGTAAATGACTGCACCCAGCCTGGCCGTGGTCTCTTTGCTCTGAAGTCACTGCAGGTTGTGTGGCTCAGTCTCAGTGTCTGGCAGCTCTCAGAGCAGGAATGGTGTCACAGCTCTCAGAGCAGGAATGGTGTCACAGCTCTCAGAGCAGGAATGGTGTCACACAGCTCTCAGAGCAGGAATGGTGTCACAGCTCTCAGAGCAGGAATGGTGTCACAGCTCACACCAGCAATAGTGTCACAGCTCTCACACCAGGATTGGTGTCACAGCTCTCACACCAGGAGTGGTGTCACAGCTCTCACACCAGGAGTGGTGTCACAACTCTCACACCAGGAGTGGTGTCACAGCTCTCACACCAGCAGTGGTGTCACAGCTCTCACACCAGCAGTGGTGTCACAGCTCTCAGACCAGCAGTGGTGTCACAGCTCTCAGAGCAGGATTGGTGTCACACCAGTGCAAAGTGAAGACAAGGCTTGTGTGTGTTCATTTACAGCCCTGCTGGGGCTTTGCTTGCCAGCACACAAGACAGTAAGGGTATTTTTAAGGCCTGTAACAACTCAAATTTAGATGTATTCTTTTGTAAAACTGGAATAGATGTATGCTCATAATCCACAGTGGGGCTGGAAAACGTGTCCAAGTGTAGAAAACAGGCTGTTTCTCTACTTGTATTTGAGCATCTGAAGGTATTTTAGTATTGCAGAGAAGAGAATTCATACAATTACAATGGAAGGATACTTAGGTAGACAGTTAAGTTTTTCAGAAGGTACTGTTTGAATGCCATGGCTCATAAATTCAAATAAATAACTTTAATTTGCTCTGTAAAAGTGAATTAGAAGTTGGCAATATATTTAGCATAATTTCTTTTTATTTAGAGTTTTGAAAACAAGTTGTCTTTTTTAATTTTCCTGTGTTCCAGTGATTTGAATCAGTCCCATTTTTACTTCCAAGTGGTGAAGAGGACCAAATGCTTCCCTCCCAGTTAGCTTCAATATGCTCTCAGTGGAGCAGAGAAGTCAGGTTCTTTCTTACTCTGGGAAATGAGCTTTTTGCAGTGCTAGAAATCCCCCTTTGGAACAGGATTGTAATGCACTGCTGGAATTAAGTTACTTGGAAGTCTCTGAGTTTACCTGCTTTCACCATCATGATATCAACAGGGAGCTCCAGTTATGTGATTTACTATTCAACACTTCTTTGTGCTAATTGGAAGGTCTGGGTTTGATTTATTTAACACAGTGTGTTTCTCTCCAGTGTACTTTAAAAGAGCATATATTATAGAGATTTTCTGTAGACAGACTCCATCCTCTTCAAGTCCTGCATGATTGTTTCTTTGTAAGGCACAAATGAAAAGTGATTCTTGTAAACAGCATAGTCACTAATTGATTGTCCAAAGGTCTTGCTTAATTAAAACTTCTTTTTGTCTTCCAGACACCCCGAACATGTGAAAATTTTATCAAATTGTGCAAGAAGAACTATTATGATGGAACAATTTTTCACCGATCGATTCGGAATTTTGTGGTGAGTATTGAAAAAATCCTGTCTCATCCACCCAACATGTGATGATCTCAAAAGATACATTTACTTATTTCAGCTTTAGGTTCTTCCATGTTCGACAGCTTGAAATAGGTGTATATTAAATGTACCATCAGAACTAGGATTGTCCTGATTTACTCAGTGTGCACTTACTAGTGTTACTAACAATTGTCTCTGGCTCATGTTGTCACTTGGAGCATCACTGCATTGCTTTGGCTGTTCCAGACAAAGCCTTTAGGAGTCACTGCCTTGGCAAGGCTCTTGTTATCTTCCCTGAGCTGTGGGTGGGTTGTTGATGAACAGAAGGAGAGAAAGAGAGAGGGAAATGCTAATTTGGATAAGTAATACTGTGGCCTGTTGGAATCCCATTCAGATGAAACTTTAGAGAGCAGCTGAATTTCTGTTTCAGGTTGTGGTGCTTGGATACTGTCCAGTCATCCTTTCCTGAGCGTACTCCAGCACTGGGTGCTCAGGCTTTCTTTGGGAAGGGGTTAAAGAGCACCTTGTCTTCCAGAACATTGTCTTTGGTAATGGAAGATCTCTATTTGTATAGTTACAGTCCAGGCAGTCTGGGATACAGTAGCTGCCCTGTAAGTTCCTTTCAGAAGAATTAACAACTTGATCCTGAAGGCAGAGCACATCTTTCAGGGAACATCACTGGATGTTACATTCCATCCTGTCATCCTACAAAAAGCTTTTTTTCTTTTGACAGCACTGTGTATCTCAGTTCATAGTTAAACTCACAGCTAAAATTGTGCTTGTGTGCTGCTAGTGTGAAACTGGCCATGGCACACTCCCTCCCCTGGCATTAGAATGTGGAATATTATTTTTGTAGATCCTGCATGTGCAGTGATTAATGCATGTGATAAATGTTGTTGCTGAAAGATTGGTTTCACATGAGGATTTTTTCTACTGCAGATAGTGAGGGGGATACAGGAAAATACAGATTCAGATACAAAAAATATACCATATTCTTTCATTTCTTGCCTTCCCTCATGTGGAGGGTTGGTGGCAAAATGTAAAGCCTTTTTTGTTCCAAAAGCAGTGCATCATCAGTTAAAAAGCAGGTTATGACCCAGCACATAATAGAAAGGATGATCTGGTTAACCCATTTGAGACTGGTTATTTTCCCTGTTTACCCACAAGAGACGTATTATTTTTATAAAACTGTCATTCTGCTCTTGGATAAGCAACATAAGGGGCGACAGCCAGCTGATAAAAGCAGCTCCAAATAAATAGTAATGGTTTTCTTTTTGCTGACTTGTCAACATGACACAGTATAGAAGGAAGAAAATCAAGGAACATTGGCTTTTATGGTTTGTATTTAATGTCTTTCACATGGATACCTATGTAACATTGATTTAATTTTAATTCTGCAGATCCAAGGAGGTGATCCTACTGGGACAGGAACAGGTAAGGTTGGCTTTGAATAAGTAAACTGTTTTCACTTCATGTGCTGTGTTGTTACATTTATTTCCAGACAGTTTGTAGATTAAAATTCTCTAGATGCTGTTACATGGTACATTGTGTTTACTTTAAAGGAGAGGTTTTATTGATATATGTTTATGACCATGTTACCATGTTCAGAATTTCATTTGATGAACTCTCAAGTCTAAAGCTCAGAAACTCTTCCATGCAGAATTTTTGTTGGATTTTTGCTTCCTTTTTATTTCAGAAAATAAATAAATGAAAATTATAATGATTTTGCAGCTGGCCTTCCTGGTCAAAGAACAAAGGAAGAAACACATTCATGCAAAGTTGCTTTCAAATTCAGCATTAATGAAATACTTGAGACCTGTCTCAGAATTGGTGAATGGCCAGGTACCATCTGTTCTCCCAGCTAGTTGCCTTGTAAAGCCCAAGCTGCTGTTTTTCTAACTTTTAAGGATCACTGTTAGTAAATTCTTCTGCTTGTTCTTCCTCCCTTAGCTGGAGATCTGGTAACAGTCATGTCAGGAATGGTCAGGAGACAGAGCAGCTGAAAGGTCCTCATTGCCCACCACAGGAGAGATGCCTCGTAATATCTCCAGTTGCTGCTATAAATTTGCTCATTTTCCACTTTACCCTTTTATCTCCCCACTTGTGGATGTCACCAGTGTCCCCAGCTCCCTGCCTGGTCCTGGGGGGCTCTGTGCATCTTTGTTCCAGTTCATAAATGTGTCATATGCAAGCACTGTGTTCTTCTGTGTGTGCTCACAGGTCATCTAGAAGAGCCCTTGTTGTAGCTGGTAAATACTTTAGCTCTATTTACTGTGTAAATAATGTCAGTGTGAGTTGCCCAACAGCTCTTCTTACAGTGTATGTGATAATCAACCCTTGCAAGATATGAGACTAGTTAAAGATTCAGTGTTTGGATGGCAAAAGCCCATTAACAAGAATTGTTGCCATCTCTGCTTGGACTGTCAAAATAAATGCAATTTGAGTTTTTATAAGGAAAGTTTTGGTTCAAATCCCAAAAGACATAATTAGGAACATCTTTTAAAATGAGAAATTAAGGAGGTGTCAGGAGACAGGAGAGATTTAATAGGTTGACTCAGACACCTCTCACCCTTGCAGGGTGGAGTTCAGATCCTGCTGTGGAATCAAAATGAACTTTCTGGTGTCATTCCTGTCTCTGTTTGTGCAAATGGTCAGAAGTGCTGTAAGACAGCACAATTAACAGTTGGCAGAGGACTGGCAGCGCTGCTGCACTGAAGGTCAAGACTCAGCTCTACTGGCAAAGCCAGTAGGAAGTGAAATGCAAAAATCCTCCTACATATACATTTTAAAAAAAAAGAAAGTCTAATGACCTCTAGTCTTTTCCATCTTGTTTTCCTCTGTGTCGTTCTTAATTAAATAGGAATATATTGCAGGCGAGATGTCTTGCAAACATCTGTCAGGACTGTTAAAGTTCTAATAAAATGAACAGTGTATGCTCAAATGGACATGAGTGTTGCAAATTTTTAGAGACTGACTGCAGTTATGATAGAGTCCAAACAGTACAAATGTCTTTTTTGCAACGGAATAGTTTTTATTTCTTGAAGACAGTTGAATTTTAGGTATCTTTATTTAATCACTTCTCGAATATGATAATATCACAAGAAAATCTAAATGGACAGCGTGGTGGGCTGCTGGATTGCTCTTGAGCTGTCATGCCTGTGTGTTTAATACTTTCTTAAATGAAGCTGCTTAGACAGTTCACAGAGTGCAAGCAGTCTGTCAGGATTTGTTCCTGACTACCTGATAGATCCAGGGCACTTGACTGGGAGGCAGAAATTTCACTGGTGTGTGTCGAGCTGTAAGAAGGTGGCCAGACCTGAGGGCCTGTCTGGCTTGATGTTCTCTCCTTGATATTGTCTCCACAAGAGCACAGCCAGAGGAAGGTGCAGCTCAGCAGCAGAGCTGGAGCCTGGCAGATGCAGTGATGCCCTCCTGGGCTCCCCTGCTCTGAAAGGGTTGGTCCATTGGTTTGTGCCTCGTTAATGTGATCACAGGCATTCATGTTAGGAAAGCTTTGGAGTAAAGCACTGGGATTCAGTACTTTGTACCTTTTTTACCTGGGTCCTCTATGTTATTTGCAGGATAAATTCTCTTTTTTATTTCATTTGGCAGCTGGAAAGAATTTCAGTATTTCTTCGATTCACTGTTTCTTAGAAGGAAAAAAAAAAGATGCATCTTTGAAGGCTAAAAAGACCATAAGATTTAGTGGTCTTTAGAAGTAAATAACTTGACTTCTGTAATATCAGAGAAGCATATGAGAGTAGAACAGGGCTTTCTTCCCAGATACTTCAGTTGGCAGTTGGGAGGACTATGTGGAGGTTACCCTTTAAATGTCAATATTTTAAACTGTTTCTGTTAGGCCTTTTGTAGGAAGACTTCAGAAAAAACAGCATACTTTTTTTCTCCTTCCACACAGAACCTTCTGCCTTAACTGATGGTCTCTGGCTAAGAGGTTTGGGATTTTTTTTTGCCTGGGTTTTTTTTAAAAAAACCACCTTTTCCAAACTGATACAGGGAAGGTACGTTAAGCCTGTATATATTTTTCTTCTTCTGTTTATTCAATTATTCCCGTTCATTAGTTCAGGAACTAAAACAGACTTGTTCAAGTATCTTCCCACCATTTGGTTTCTGTCATCTGACATTCATCTCATGTTCAGCAGCAGGTGTCAGGTTTATGGTTGCAATACCCAGATGCTCAGATGATCACCTGCTCCATTGCCAGCTAAGGCCAGGACTGTTCATCTTCTGGGTGGGTTTGAACACACTCAGTACTACATGACATAAGGTTATGAGTCACACAGACTGCAACTGTGCTCTCAGCTCACCTGGATTAAGTGTGCTTGTGTTTTGGAAGCACTTCACAGAGGCCACAAATGCCAAGCTGGTGGTCACTGACCATCCTCTTCCATGGCTGCTCTGGCTGAACAGCCCTCTCTGTAAGCAGCTCTGATCCCTACTTTGTTCTTTGTTATTCAGCTCCCAATGTCCTTTATGAGTCTCTTTTGGGCTGTCATAAAAGTAACCATGACCCAGCAGGAGTGTGAAGGACAACTGATTCCTGGTACTGAGCAGTTGACCTTGGGATGGAGGAGGGTGGGAATTAGCCTTGTGGTATCCAGGAGTTGAGATACCACCCTGGGAAAGGAGTGGGGAATAGTTTCCCTGTAGCACAGCTGGCAGACTTGCACTGCCAGAGTAGTCAGATACACAGTTCTGACACTGATTTTGAGGACCAGGCTTATTTTCTACAGCCTTCAACTTAATGTTTCATAAGACCACTGGGAGAAATTTTATTGTGCAGCAGCAGCTTATTTCTTTTCTAACAAAATAACCACCCATAGAGGCAGTATTCAAAGCAATAAGCTGAGTCATGGTCATTCTTTGTAATGATTTATTATTTGAAAATGAATTTTAGATTTGTGACGTATCTCTTTTCCTACCGTTCATAACAACTAAGTGGTTGAACACTGTGAGTAATTCTAACTCATGGTCGTGCAAGTGGAGCAGCTGCTCTGTATTTTCAGTGTTCCAAATAATAGAAGAAAATTTGCATGTAGGAAAAATAGGTTTAATATCCTAACCCTTTTGTATGAAAAAGGGGAAACTATATGCAAAGCATTACATTTTCAAAGCAGCACAGGCATTTTTCAGCCACTGTGACTTGCAACCTGTTGGAAGATCTCATGAATCAGCCTGTGTGTGCCTCTGTCCTTTTATGGATCCTGGAGGGCACAAAGGAGGCCTAAAACAGCTGTAAAAGTCCCAAGATAAAATACCACTGGGAAATGGGAATTGCATTTTAGTTGGCAGCAAGAGCTCCTCTGAAATGTCAATAGCAAAGGGCTGTGGACAAACTCGGTCAATGCAATGTGATGTCCTAACAAAGCAAGTTCCTAAACTGTGTCAGTTGTAGAACCCCTATTCATGCCTGACTGAAGCTCAGCAAATGGGCAAGAGCAAGCCTTTTTTATCCAGAATATACTCCTTTTACATTGCAGCCCCTCTGCAAATCCTGTCACAGGTATGTGGGGTTCAGAGTACCATGTCTTCTGAGCTGAGAGGAGAGAAGCACTTGCTGCCTGAGCTGAGGCTTTCATATTTGCAAAATGATTCCAGAATCTCACTTGGAAAGCTCTACAGAAGTGTCAGATGTTATTATGTACCTCGTTGTTCCAAATGACAAGAAGAAAATTACAGAAAGTAAGCCATCATTTTTGTGAATCAGAGCCCTCCCACTTCCTTACCACTGCTTAGCAATTTTTATACCAGAAAAAGGAAGGATTTATTTAAAATCACAACTGTCATGAATGATGATTCCCAGCCCACACCTGGCTTTTGGAATGCTACATCTCTGAAGCTTTAGGTGCATCTCTCAGCTTTTTGCAACAAAGTTGTACAAATTCTGTGATTTTACCTCATAAAATTTTTGAAAATACCTTTAGTAGAAACAAAAACTACCAAAGAGTAATCTGGTTTAGTTCAAAAGATAATCTGAAAATGTGGCTTTTTTCTAGAGAGTGGCTTAATGTGTGATTGCTTCAGATGTCAGTTCAGATCTGTTCACCTGTTCACTGTCAGCACAAGATGCAGCTACGAGACTGAGTAACTAACCACACTTCAGCACAAGCTATTTTAGGTACATTAAGTATATTAAGTACAAGTATCTTGCCACTCTGGATAGCCATGGAAATTATTAATATTTTTTAAGAGTTGCGTGGTCTGTCTTGTTTCATCTCTGTGTGAGAATGAGTTAAACGCCTCTTTAATTTAAGAGAAGGGTTTTTTTAGTGAAAAACGTGGAATTGTTTCCCAACTTCCTTCAGATTTGAACCTGGGGTATCTGAGTAGGCATGTGATTTTTGTTCTACTGAATTGTACAAAAGCTCTTTCTGGCTCCTGAAGACTGTGACGTTGAACACGTTAAATGCTGTTGAAGGCCAGTGTGTTGCTGTGGCTGCTCTCAAGCACATTTCCAGCTTCGTGCACGCAGGAGATCCCCGTGGGGGGTGTAAGTACTCCCAGCACCAGTCCAGCCAGTGGCAGTACCTGTTGGGGCCATGGCTGCTGCCATGAGAACTCCTCTGATCTTCAGCACAGAAGCCCCCTGAATTTTTTTCCAGCACTTTTTGTAATAGGATCTCAGAAACATTTGCAAGTCCGGTAGGCACCACAGATAATCTAGTGCCCAGCAGATAATCTTATCAGGAGTAAGCTGAGAGGAAGGTGAGGTGAGGGGCAGTGCTGCCAGCTGGGCATCCAACACCCAGAGGAAATTCTTGTTTTCTGTGGGCTTTGCTTGTAGGTGCTGCATCAGTGTTGGGCTGAGGGGTTTGCTGTGTCCTGACTCCGTGTCTGCTCAGCAGTGATCCGGGTGTGCTCGGAGGAAGATTTGGGGAATATAAGGAGGAGCCTCCTCTCTTTCTGGCACATTCTGGGAGTGTAACATGAGAGGGCAGGAGCCAGACACTGCAATGCTCCCACCTCCCCTGTCTGCATCCATCCTGCTTTCAGGAAACTAAGAAAATGGCACAGCCACACCTCCCAACTGCGTTGAGATTAAACGCAGTCAAATCTGCTAGATACTTCCCAACACCTCATAAATATTATTATTAGGTTTGGAGGCTGTGAGTGATTTTCCCAAGGTTACACTGAGATCTAAAATGTAAGAATGTGAAATCCCTGTTGAAGCCCCCCTAGCTGAGCATTAGGCACTGTGCTGCCATGGCACTAGACTGATGAGGGGTCTGCACTTAAATCTTCACAGGGAAAGTAATGCTGAGTTTCAGTAAGTAAAAAAATACATGTGTGCAACTTACCATCTTCTGGCTTGCTCGGTGTAGTCCTGCTTCAAGCAGATACTTGAAACCTGGAACAATTCCAGAGGTTAGCAGGAGTTTGACAAAAAGCACGTTCAGGCTATTTGGGATTTTCCTTTTTTTTTCTTTAAAAAAAAAAGGAAAATCCCAAAGTATTCTCCTTAAATAAAAAAAAGTATTCTCTTTAAATTATTAAAAAAACTGAAACAAACCAACAGCAAAATCCCCAGGCCATGCCTGCACTGCTGTCTGAGTGCCTTTGCAGTGTCTCCACCACCCTTTGCCAGTCTGTGCTGCCTGGTCTCCACAGACACTTCAGCTCTGTCCTTCAGAGGACGTCTGGCCTTTTAGGCACATTCTGCACAGGCCATTCCCTGTTCTTGCTGCAGCTCCTGGGCAGTCAGAATTAGCCTAGCAAACAGCTGTATGGCAGACAGAGAGGGAAGCAGGGGCTGGAACTCATGCTGTAACTATCTGCTAAAATATTAGCCCTTACCTGCAGAGAACTGGGATGCACACACATGAGATTAATTCTGACCTGTAGTGCATGATCCAAAATGAAATGATACAAAAATAAATATTCCAAAACCTAAAGATCATGGCTCATTACTCCTGTCTGCAGGCTCTTGGGTCTGGTTGGTTGTTGTGCCAGAAAGAGAGAGCAGTCTCTGTCATTCACAATTTTTCTCTTTCCTTTTGAATAATTTTTCTGACTGGTGAAGGCTTTAGGCTTGATTCCACTCTCTTTCAGCAGGCTGACAAAGCTGTAATTCCAGCATGGAATTACATTCCCTGCATACTGGAAGCATTTGAAGGGTGTAGTGGACTCACAGGTTTGGCCAATTGCTGCTGTGTCCCATCTCAACAGGCTGTGCTCATGTCCTGTATCCTCTGAAAACTTCAGCCAGCACAAACTCCTCTAGAGCTGGCTGCAGCTGGACCATGTGCTTGTCATCCACTACTGGAAAAGACTGACATATGGGATCAAGCTGATATAATTTAGCCAATCTTAAAATATTCAATAGCCAAGGGTTGTGGAAGTAATCACTCCTCTACCCCTGATTACAGAAAATCCCTACAGGGTTTGTCCCCTTTTGACACCTCTTGTCAAGTTGCAGAGCAGGCAACACTCAACTCTATTAATAAATCTTTTGAACATGATTAATTGGGTTTTTAAGCGGGTCAGTTTCTTCCAAAATCTCACTTATTCAGTTCCACTCTCAGCTGTCCAGATGTGATGCCTTGTTTTCATGGTATCATCTGAAACTCTTTTCTCATTTAATGCACTCTTGTGAGTTTTTTGGATGAGGTTTTCAGTAGGAGGCTGTTCCCTTCCTTGGTTTTATTTGCTCTTGCCTGTGCAGCCGTGTCATCAAACTGCTTCTGTGTGTTCCATGTGCAAATGGCCACTGAGCAGCACAGATCCTTTACTGACCTCCTGCTGCACCAGTGATACACTTACTCCAGAGGATTCTTGAGCCTGTTTTGCAGATGGACCAGTCATGCCGTCTGTTTGGATAGTTTTGTTTGTTTTATTTTTAATACTGTCCTAAGGTGAAATATTTTTCATGGTTTGTCAAACAGGATTATGGATTTGACTGTAAAACTATGACTCAGCCTTCGTTTTTCTTATTAAGAATGATCCTGGTGGAAAGTGCAAATGAAAATGTCAGATCTGTCATAAATAATGTAAAAATGACAGCCAGGGGGAGAGCTCTGCCAGACCCTCTTTCTGTCCACAGTCACAGAAATCAGTTTTGGAGGGCTGCGACTGGGGTTTGTGCAGTTTTGTCATCCTTTTGACTTCATTGCATTTAAGTGCTCACATCATCCAGGTATCTAGTCCAAATATCTAATTTATGCCTGTTATTTTGGAGGACCATGTGTCATCATTCCTGATTGTTTAGCTGGAAATCAAGCATTTGAGCTTATAGCTCCTGTGCTTAGTTGATTCTATGAATGCATTTCATCTCCCTGATATTTTATTTCTGGAAGCAATGCTATATCCAGGGTGCAATTAAACTAGTAATTCTTTGCTCTGGGTTTTGTCAGAAAGCCAATTTTAAAGATTTAATGTCTCAAAGGAGAAAAATGATGGTGGACCAGCAGTAAAAAATGAAATCCTTGACAGTTCTTCAGCACAGGACACATAAGGCTGTTGATAAGCAGTGTGCTCTGTTGCAGCTGATAGTGTGAGGCACAGAATTTTGTTGCCAGTTGCAAACATCAGATTTCAAGGTCGAGCTCAAATACTGGCCTAGTGATAGGGGTGAGGTAACAGTGTATGACACAGGTAGTGATCCAGGTGCTGGAAACCTTGAGTTTAATGTCAGTGCCTGTTACAAAACACAGTGGGGAACTAATGAAAACAAACATTATTCTTCTGTCGTCTTTTCTCTTTTAAGGAGGAGAATCTTACTGGGGAAAACCTTTCAAAGATGAATTCAAGCCCAATTTGTCCCACACAGGACGTGGTGTTCTTAGTATGGCAAATTCAGGACCCAATACAAACAAATCACAGTTGTAAGTAGTCACTTGCTTTTTATGCTTTATTGTTTCCCTCTGGACATTGTGTCTTACTCTGTTAAGAAAACAAATGACATTTTATGAGCTACTCTTTAAAATTCGGTCAAGTGAAATATTCTGTCGGGTGCTGCATGTTCCAGTCAGGGCTACAGCTGCTCCTACCAATCTAAGAGCAAAGTGAAGCATGGCAATAAGACCCAGAGATCTATTATATCATCAGTAATTTGTCTTTTCCGGTTTTATGATTTGAAGTTTTTGTTTGTTTTTGTCAGTGTCCCCCCAGTGTTACCCCTGTAAGATCATATCTATTCACTCTGTTTAAATTTAGCCCTGTATTGAACTTTTTGAAAGGGCTTAATGAAATGAAACATACACTCTATGAAAATGTTACTTCTTTTTAGTCACCTGATAAAGAACAGTTCTGCTCTTTTGAAATGTTTAAACCCAGACATGGCAAAGTGCACAATCTGGGATTGATAATAACTTGTTTTTCAATGTACAAAAGCAGATTGAGGACTAAAATGAGGAAAAAATGCATAAAAAAGCAGAAAGTAACACCAAGGAAATGTAAAGATGCTGAAGTTGTAATAGCCTTGTTTGTGTGTAACATTAATATGGGTGTTTGCCTGCCATCCTTTGAAAATGTCTCTTTGAGCCAGCTATTTATTGGTTGCTCCAAAGTTGTTCTTTTATCGGGAGCAGCAGGAGAGTGAGAGAATGTGTGTGTGTGTGTGTACAATACTGTGCCTTGGGACTGGAGAGGAAGGGAGGGGGTTCGTGGTGTTGGTCTTCATGATAGTAAATGTTATTATGGCTTATAAACTCTGCAGCAGTGTGGTTTGCTTTAATTCAACACAAGTGCTTGTCTCAGGGCCTTTAATAGGCTTACTCGCATTCTTAAGGCTAAGCACGTGTTGGGCAGTTTGCAGGATCAAGTTGCTGTACAACTTATTTTGGATTTGAATGTTGTTGCCAGCACTCAGGTGCTAAATTATGGGAGAGCAGAGACTTATTTCTTCTTTTCTTTAAAAAAAAAAAAAAAAGAAGCAGGGATTCTAGAAACAGAAGTTACAGAGATCATGAGTGATGTGCCATATTGAGTCACATTTGCTGCTGTAAATGTGATTGTATGTTCTCCTAAAATTTGCAAATGTAATATGAAATTCCTTTATATGTAAGTCCTTAAGAGACTCCAGCTGCCCATATTTATAAAGCTTCCTGGGCATCACTGAGACACTTCTGACAAATGCTGTGGCCTTGGGAACTGCTGAATAGCTTTCCCCATAGGTGACAGGCAGTGCAGGACAGAGGGAGCTGTGTCCCCTCTGCAAGGTGATGCTTCAGTAATGCTCAAGACCTCTCCTCTGGGATCATCCCAAATTAATTCTGTTATCCTTAATTTTATTTTGACTGGCAGTAATGAATTAGAAGCTTTCTCTGTATATTTGCTACTGCTCAGATTTCTTTTTATTACAATGCTACGTAACTGACCACATGATGTATTTAAGTATTGGATATCCAGGAATAAAGTGGTGCCCTGTGTAGGAGTTTGCATCCTGTACAGCCTCTCAGTGCTTTCCTCCCTGTCTTAGTAGATTGTCTGGCACATTACAACCCCTCCTATTTGCAATCATATAACTTCCTGAGGCAGTTGCTTATATGGAAAAGTGTTTTTGGAATGCTTATATATTTTTAGCTGTCTCTTATGTGGTGCAACAGATGGGGACAGGGAGGAGAGCCAGCACTGCATGTCCAGCCAAGACGGGCCATTGTGGTCTGCAGAGCTCAGTGTGGAAACCTCTGTCTCACACACTTGTAGGCCAAGTTTTCCAAAGAAGCATCAAGCTTTAGAGAGAGGTTTTAGTAGTAAAGATTGCTTTGGATTTGTAATTTAGTTCCCATGATAAAGTCTAAGAATACAGCCTCCAAAATTAAAAGTCCAGTTAATTAAAAATCCAAGCTTCACAGGTTTTCATTACTTTGGACACTTTGAAGTATTATTCTGGGGTATTTGTGTCTGAAGCACAAGTTTGCTCTTTGTCCAGAGGAGAAATGGATCACCAACAGGCCAACTGAAGGGAAGTGCAAAAAGTAAATATCCAAAAAAATAAAAATTTCCACTGGCAGAGACTGTTGTGCCATGTAACTGTCTGCTGGATGCAGCTCCTTGTCATGCACGTCTCCCTGCCTTGCATGAGCTTCCCAGAGCCTGCGTGGCCAAGGAGGCAGATGCTCAGATTAATCTTGGACTTGGTGCAAGGCCCCATGGTTGGAATATTCTTTAGGGATAAAGGTGTAAAAGTGAGAAGTCAAAACTCCAGAAATCCAGGATGAAACCCCCAAAACTGAGGAGTTGAAGGATGTTTTGTCAGCAGGCCTCCCAGAGAGGAGCCAGAGAGGGAGGGGGGCTTGTTTTCCTCCAAGAGCTTTTCCATAAACTTTCTGGTTTTAAGCATTCCTGGCTGTTGTTGAGGGTCAGTGCGACAATATGGTAACTGTTATGTCTTTATTCTTTCCAGCTTCATCACATTCCGCTCTTGTGCGTATCTGGACAAGAAGCACACAGTTTTTGGAAGGTAAGTGAAGGATATGGGCAACAGTACAGCAGATGTGCTCTCCTGTGTGTCTGAAGCCTAAGGAGAAGAATCTGGTGACTCTTGTAATTGAACTGGAGCCAAATCCTAGCTTACAGTGCAGTTCTTCTGGGCATGAGTAGGTGGCCAACATGGCATCAGTGCCAGTCATCAGACCCTGCCTTTTTTCCTCCTTCCATCCCTGTAAGTTGCCTTACTTCCCTGGAGGGTGGCCCTCCAGGAGTCATGAACACAGGAATGAACCGTATTAATATTTGTGCATGGTAATTGCTGGGACACAGGAGATTACCTCTTCAATACTGCTTCATCCTCTTATAGGCCATCAACTGGAAAATTAGTCATGACAGGACTACTCTTCATCATGGCATAGAACATAGAGCTTCTGCATAGATTAGGTCTTTTGGTCCATTTTGTTCTTTTTTGTCCTTTTCTTTTATTCCTGACAGTTCTCATTGGTATAAAATCTGTATGTGTGTGTATGTACATACATATGTGTTTATGTACATAAAGATATTACCAATGCCCAAACAGTGAGGGAACTTCATTCCTTATAAAGAAGTCTCTTCTGGAAGTCTTTTCCAGTGAAGCCCTCACATGAGGGCAAAGTTTGTTCTTTGCTTGCTCTGCTGCAGGTACCTGGTATTTACCAAGCCAAGCACAGTGTTCTAAAGCATCCCCAGGAGCAGGAGGAGGGGGAGTGTTGCTGACCTGCTGCACTGGTAGTTCCTGAGAATCTTACAATCTTTTTAAATGGAGATCTGCTTTGTTATTCTTTTCACAGTTTTATCCGTTTGGAAGTCAGCGATTTAAAATAAAACCATGTGCTGTTTACTTTGATTGGATGTCATGCAATTGTGCTGTACAGTGACAGTGATATATATAATCCCATCTTCCCTGCCTGCAAGTTCTTGAGGCAGAAAACGCTTCATTGCATTTGTTTTAGTGCCGTTAGTTCCAATACTGATTCTTCAATAATTGCACCCTTGAAAATGTATTTCTTTTTTTCTTTCTCAGGTGTGTCCTAGAAAAATTCAAAGTTCCCTTGTCATTTGGTGAAAGCAGATAAATAAGGCAAATGCCAACACCAAAAGCTGAGAGCCAGTATATTCTTGGAGGAGTTACCTTACCTAGATCTTGAGACTATTTCACTTAAGCTACACTTTGAGTCCACCTTGCAAAAATCCCTTCAAATCCCATACAGTAATGCTGTTAACCTGAGCTGGCCACCTCATCAAATAGTATTTGGGTTAGGACAGCTCAGCTGAAAAGGTGCCTATTCTTAGTTCTGGATGCAGCCTGGCTTCAGGGAGCACACTGGATAGTCCTGCAGTGTCTTTGCTGTGCTTCCCCAGGGCTCCAGTTTTACCCTAATTCACCAGGAAGGAATCTGGGGAGCAGCTGAGCTCCCTGGGGTGCAGGGAGGGTGCTCCCAAAAGCCTTTGCACCAGCTGATACCTCAAGTACCTTATGAGCAAAATAGCTCAGATGATGTTTCACACTGTACGGTGCCCTTTGGAGAGGAATTACTTCAATCCAAGTAAATCTGGTTAAATGTCTATAGCAGAGATTTTTGCAGTTTTAACAAAGACTGTCTTAATTTGTGAATTGTCTTTGTTACTGCAGAAATCTGAGCTTAGGTGCCAGAATAAAGAAGTGGTGCTGCTTTCCCAGCACTGCAAATATTTTTAGCTGAAATATAATGGAAAAACTTTATAAAAAATGTTGGTTTGGAATCATGTTTGGCTCCCTGCATGAAAACTGGGTGACATCTTCCTATGAACACAGAGCAGGTGAATTTTACTCTGGTCTCACTTGCACGTAAATAAAGATTAATTCAAGGAATGTAAAAAATTAAGATACTGGGATATATGTATTCCAATCACTCTATATTAATCTACAAATTGAATTCTTGAATAATCAAATTTACCTAAAAATGTAATATAAAAGGTTGATGTGTGTAGCTCTTAAGATCTATATTCTGTCATCAAAATCCTTCAACTGTTTTTACCTGCATTGTTTTGAAAAGCCATAGAAGAAGATGCCAGAGATTGTACCTCTAGTGAAACTTCAGCTTCAGTTTGCTATTTTAGATCCTGAGTGATTCTGGGATTTGGTGACTGTATCTGATCTTAGACTGTATAGTACAATAATAATGTCTGGGAAGCATATCTAGGAATAATATCTAGGTTTAAGAACAGAATGAACCCATGAAATCAGGATTCTTTGTTTCCATCAATGTTAAATTGGATTGTCTTGATTGGATGCTTACTGGCCTGTTGTGACTTTCATATAGATTTGAGGATTACTTATTTCAGTTAATATAAAACCCTAAATACTCTGATCTGACCTGTACCCTCAGCTATTCCTGTGTGGCTCTGGTTCCTGTTAATGTCACATAGGTATCTTGGAGAGCACAATTTGATCTGTTTGTAAGTTGTATAGAACTTTTCAGCAGGTTTTCCATACTTCAGAGAACAAAAAAGAATGAAAGAGCAACCATTCCCCACTCCTTTCTTTGGTTTTTTTTGATCCTGTGTGGGATGGAACACTGATGGTTTCTTCTCTGGAGCTGTGTCTTATTCATGTCCCCACTGGTTTGAAACACAATTTTTGCATGGGGTCAGATATTAGTGTTGGAGGTTTGGCTGTTGTTTGGAAAACACCCCAGGTGTGGGCCGTGGGGCTGTGAGAGGGGACGTGTCTGGCTTGGGGCAGGGGGATTTTCGAGTCTCAGGAGAAGGGGGCAGCTGGAGGACAGGGCAGGCATCGTGTCATGATTGTGCTGCTCACCATGGCAGTGATGAGGATGGGTGTACTGAAAAGAAAGGAGATAATCTGGCGTGGATGGGGAGCAAAAACAAAGGCAGAGTGTAAGAAGAATGCCTTCCCTTGGAGGCTGCATGAATTTCCTGCTCCAGCAGAGCTGCCTAGATTAAATTAGTAATTACCATTTCTAGTAATTACTATTTCTCCTGACTTAGAGAATGACGTAAAATTAGCATGAAAACTAACTGGTGGTGTTTCTGGGCTTCTAGCTTGCTGGTAAGAGGTTTAATTTAGAAATTCAAATCATGTAAACCAACCAACGTGCATTTGCTCTGCACAGAGTGGATGAGAGGCATTTGCAGGGGCTGAACTGCTGCATGGGGAGGGTCCTGCCTGCTGCTGCCCTGGGCTCTGGGGGGGCTCCTTCTTACCCTTACCTTGCTACAACTGGGAGTTCAGCTGTGCTGTGATCTGCATGAGCTACAGGAACATTACAGCCAAAACAGCAGAGAGGCTCAGATTCCTGTCTGCTATGCTTCATGCAATTTAGATGCAAGCACATCCCATCCATGTTGTTAGTATGTTTTCTTTTTTTCCAGTGTCCTGCAGCTTCTGTGGATCAGAGACCTGCTACATTTACCCTTTATAAGCAGACTTAGAAACAGTCTCTGTCCCTGAGAGCTGTGTAAGTAGAAAAAAGACTGCATATAGATACAGGGAAGTTGTGACAATGACCCATTTCAGTCTACCTTCCACCAACAGTTTACACTTTTTTCAGAAAAAGAAACCCTCAGGAAAAAGTTAAATTGCTTTGTGGATGTTTTTTGGGAGCCTGTTCCAAAGCTGAAGAGGCACATTAAAAAGTGCATGTTTCAAATAATAGTGGAAGGTGTTCAACAGGAGGAGAAAAATGCTTTTGGAATTTTGGGTGAGATTTAGGACAAGCAGAGCACAGTAGACTTGAAAATGAGGTCAAATTGGAGGCATCAGTCAGTAGCTGACATTCACTCAGCTTAGTCTTCTCTTTTCTTCCCTTCTCCCCTTGCCAGATGCTTTTGTGGAAGAGAGTTCTTCCCTTGGATCAGTATCACTCTGTATTAAGTATTCCTTAACCTCTTTAATGCTTTGTACTGCCATTCTGTAGAATGGGGCAGTGAAAGTAACTCTTGTCCTCTAAAGTAATTATCTCCATAAAACAACTGCCAGGTGTTATTCAGTTAGCTGGGTAGGGTTAAATAACAGTGTCTGGTTCCACTTGCAACATTCCCTGTATGGTTTGAATCAGTGAATCCCAATGGCTTCTAAGCTGGAAAACTCATGTTCTTCTTGCTCTTCTGCTTTAGTACAACTGAAGAGTGGAGAAATCGTGTGACAGCAGAAGAACTGATTCTGTGTAGGAGCCTGACCTAATTTTGCCCTGCAGAGTCTGCTCCTCAGACACTGGGATAGGAGGGAAGAGCAAGGTGGGAAGAGAAGCCAGGCCTCCTTTGGAAGCTGTGGCTGTGGTCTCCTGCAGCACACCAGGACTGGGCTGTTGGAGCTGCATGAGGGCTGCTGTCATGTTCAAAACAGTTGTATTGTCTCTGGAGAGGGACCTGTGCCAAAGCAGGGAAGTCCTTGTGTGCCAGGTTCTTCTGTTGAGTCTAGTTTCAAAAAGATTTTTCCAAGTTGTTTGATTTTTTCAGCACCCTGTATTACCATGTCTCACCTGCTAGATTAAGTCCTTATGAGAGATGGAGATATTTTGGCTGCGTTCTTGTTGCACATTGGAATTGCACCCTCCACTGCAGATTGAGTGTGTGCATAGAAGACATTTTGTCCCGGTTGTACGTGTTTGTGCATGTATGTACTGTTCTCTCTGTGTGTATATAAATATATGTTCTCCTTTTTATAAAAATAACCCTAAGGGCAGAATGTGTTTACACATACAGCAATGTTTCTTTCTGGTTTCTGTTTCTAGTTCAAAGCACTTTTTTAAATAGTCCAGACATTGTTGTTTTATCATCCTCTGACCAGGAAACTATCGTCCTGGACTGCTGCCATCCCCAGCACTGCATAAGGCTTGATTCCTATAATTCTTTTCTAAACAAAAGTATGAGAAATAGGTCCCCATGAGGGAGAGGCACTCCTCTCTGGGGGCAGCATTGGCTGGTGTCCAGTGAGACCTTCCCTGGCACATTGCACATGGACAGAGCTTGCTCCAGATATTCCACCTAAACGTCGTGCAAAGACATTGGTGGTGGTTATGAAGCAAGGTTACCAGGTTACATAAAGGAGCCCTGACAGGAAGGAAGATTTTAATAACATATCTAAATGTGAAATGCAAAGATATCCAGTGCTAACTTACCCAGTTTTCAAGAAAACAGAATTGCACGATTAAGGGCAGATTTTTGTTTTCATTCCTATGCTAACAGAAAAAAACCCTAAATGTGCCTACCTTGTCATTCATGCTTAGATGTAATGCAACATTTATCAAGCTCCTCTAAAAATACAAGCTGTCTCAGGGATGCTGAGCTAAATATAGAGTTGAGATCATCCTTTCTCTGTTCAGTGTCTCCTGGAAGCACACAGCAAACTCTCGGTGTCACTGGTTGTTCTAATGTAAATGGTGTCTTGAAGGTGTTACCCTTTCCCCTGTAGCATGTCATCTGAACATCTGTTTAAACCTCACCTAGTCAATGTAGGACAAACCATGTGTGGCACCTTATAAAAGGAACAGAGCCAGAAGCAGGGGAAAACACTAAATTTGTTTCTGCCTTCTCCCTTCCCTGCTGGCTCCCAGCTTGGCAGAAATGACACTGCACGAGACAGGTCAGCACAGGGAACTGTCACTCTCTGTGTCACACATTTAGCACTTGACAAGACTATAAAAGGATATTAGTTGGACTTCTGGAGTCTGCATTTTCTTTTATTGAAAATGATGTACAGAGTTCTTTGAATATTAGAATAATAGTAAGTAATGACTCTCTCTTTAGCAGTTTGGGGTTTTTTTAATGTTTTTATGTACTGATCTAATGGTTTTTTTCTACATATAACTTGTATGGGCTTTTTTCTTGGCAAGATGTCCATGAACTTTTCTTCTTACACTCAAAGTATGTGTTGTGGGACAGGCAAAGAATCCCCAAAACTTCTCTGGTGTGTTTGTTTCCTCATTCTGTGAGGAGCAGTTGCTGTAAGTGATGCCAGTGCAAGGGCTTTGACACATTACATCTCATCAAACTGATTTTAGTGCTGCGATGTAACATCATGAGATTTGACAATAACAACATGTAACGTTTCAAGAGCTTGCATGTACATTGTCTCTCTGCTTAGATCAGGGGAAAGCTTGGAAAAGCCTTTACAGTTTGAGACCTTAAGTTGAAATACTCAGTTTTTTTGCATCCACCGACTGCCTTGATTAGTGTGTAGTTCAGTTTTACAGGATGGGTCATGTTTGCTGTCAGATCTTGTCTTTTTTGGATATTAATTTTTAGTGATGAAACACCAGTTTGATCCTGACAAAGCTCCCAAGTGCTCCCTGAACAAAAGTGACCAGTAGATTATTTCCAGTGCCTCTGGTCAGAGCTCTCTCCTCTCAGCTGGTGGTTTGTATTCAAATCAGGTTTTATTTTTTAGTGGTATTATGGCAGTGTCTAAAGACATTAACCTATATTGAAAGCTGATTGTGCTGACACTGTAATACACACAGAGATACAATCTGTGCAAAATGTTGGAGAATGCAGGGGTGTAAAAAACTAAAAGCAATTTTCCATTTGTGAGACAAGAAGTGAAGAAGGAAAGAGAATTACGTGCTCTGCAGGCATAACAACTTTGTCTTATTCCCCCTTAGCCCTTTACAATCACATCAAAATAGACTGTTTAGGTCATTTACTGATGACCTGTGAATGCCATGTCTGTCACAGCCTTTTAAAACATACAAGTGACAAAATATTCCCAATAAATTTTAATTAGCATAGAGGCTGAAGATCTGGGAGCATCACCAAAATGCATTAGACCTACTGTTGTGGGAGGTCTAGCTATGGGCTAAGGGATTACTCAGTTGAGATTGCCAGTGCATAGCTGATGTGGCCATTTCAAATTATCAGAACCTAATTAAATGAAAACATATGGGCAGATAATGAGTAGAGCTGTTGGCTAGAAAATCCTCCAATATTAAATCAGAAGTTTCCTTTGGGGCAGTTAAAATACAGTGAATATGTCTTAGGCTGGGTGTTAATCACCAGTATTATAAGTGAATCTGATATGGGCCTGGAGGGAGATTTTAAAATTGAGTTTTTGTTATGAACTTTCCAAAGTTCATGCAGGGTCTTCAAGCCCTGTGTGGCCTCCCCCAGTGTGCTCCCTCCAGTCACAGAAGATTGAGGCTGTTCTAGCCTGCATACATGGTTTTTAATTGCTCTCAGAAGCCACAGCCTGAGTGCAGCACATCAGCAGCCCCTGGGGAGTGAGGCTGGAGCAGCACTGAACGTGAGCAAGGACAGCTGTGCTGGGAGGGTGCTGAGGAACCCTCTCTGACCTGCCTGGGCTCATCCTCTGTGATGGGCTCTGTCTTTTTGGGTGTGTTTAGTGCCCGTCCCAGCCCATGGGGTGGCAGTGGGGGCAGTGGGGAGTGGTGTAAAGGTGTATTTCTCCAGGGATCAGGTGAGACTGTGGCAGGTGAGAGCCAGGGGCCTCTCCTGGTGCTGGCTGGGCAGATGCCATGGGCAGGGCTGTGAAACACCTCTGGGAGTGAGATAGCCTGGTACGACTGTAGAAAGATGACTGTGAATACAATGTGTGTTTTGGTTGAGGCAGTGCTTATTTCTGTGATATGAAAGCAGAGTTAGGCGATAAAACACTACATATTCCACCAGTTTGATTTCTTTTTCCCCACCAGTTACATTTAATTTGATTTTCATCTGCCCAGCCCTTGACAGCCTGCCTGTGCTGGTGCTGGAGTCCCAGTAATCCCAGTAAACCCAGCAATCAGGCCTTAAAAGAGCTGCCCCCTGTGAAGGCTGGAGGATTGCCCTGTCCACGGGCCCTCGGTGGCCGGTTCCTGTCCTCACTGCTGAGCTCCCCTGTCCTCATTGCTGAGCTCTCCTGTCCTCACTGCTGAGCCCCCCTGTCCTCACTGCTGAGCCCCCCTGTCCTCATTGCTGAGCCCCCCTCTCCTCATTGCTTGAGCCCCCTGTCCTCATTGCTGAGCTCCCCTCCTCAGTGCTAGCCCCCCTCTCCTCACGCTGAGCTCCCCTCTCCTTCACTGCTGAGCCCCCCATGTCCTCATTGCTGAGCTCCCCTCTCCTCCATTGCTGAGCTCCCTCTCCTTCATTCCTGAGCCCCCCTCTCCTCATTGCTGAGCCCCCCTCTCCTCACTGCTGAGCCCCCCTCTCCTCACTGCTGAGCTCCCCTCTCCTCATTGCTGAGCTCCCCTCTCCTCATTGCTGAGCTCCCGGCCCCAAACTCCTCTGTCTGCAGGAGCAATGCTTTTGGGAATTACAGCTGCTTCTCATTGTCCCACGGCCATCAATAGGAACTGTAGTTTTGTTTCCTGGCCATGTGGCTTGGCTCTCTTAAAACAGATGTTGTCCAGCAACAGCCTGCTTTGCTAATGGATCTGGATCGCTTGGCATCAACAGCCTGTCTTCCTCTTTATTTACTGCTCTTCTAAGAATAGCTGTTTTCAAATAGAATTGGGGATGATGTGAATAAAAGTGTTAAATACCCTGGGACCAAGATCTGATGCCAGCAGGACCCCTCTGGAAATGTACTGACTCAGTGGTTCCTGTTTAAAATTAGATTTTGACACCTGTCAGCCAATTTTTTATTTAATGTATGCTGTGTTCACCTCATATCATTCTGGTTCCTCAATCAGAATATCAGCCGCCCTTCAGAAGTCTGTTCCATGGACACTGTTATCCCTGTTAGCCACATCTGTTGTCTCAGTGACAGAAGGTTGTTTGACAGTCTGTTTTCCACAAAGCCTTGTTGATTGCTGTTACTTATTTCCTTTCTTTCTTAATCATGTCCTGTCTCCACTATTCTATTATTTTGCTGGTATGGATGACAGGATTATAATTATCTGGTTTACCCCATTTATCCCTTCTAAATATGCTTTTCTGGAAGTTTCCCATTGTTCCACACTTTTTTTTTTTGAAAATGAATGTGCAACACTTCAGAAAGGCTTCAGCCTTAAACATTTTCAAGCAAGTATTTAGATATGTTGATTTGAAAAGTGAGAGGCCAGGGATCTGACATCCTCCAAAGTAAAAACTGCAGTGAAAAGTGTCCCAGCATTACCCTGTGGCTGTGATCTGATGCTCTGCTGCTTTCCCAGAGCCCTCATGAGCTCACGGTCATGACGTTCTCCTGGAGCAATCCTGTGCTTTCTGTGTTACTGGTGTTAGTGCAGACAGCTCTGTCACTGCTCTCCTGTAGTGCTGTAGTTACCATTCCCTTTCTTCCTGATAACATCTTCAGTCTGATGTACAGTTTAAAAACAAAGAGACTTGTTCCTCATCTGCCTGGTTTGTGTGGCTCCAGGGTTTTTGGACAAATGGCTCTGCTTTGCCTCTGAGTGTTTGACTTTTCCATGTTCTGCTTAGTTTTAAATTCAGATCCCATATCTGAGAAAAAATTTTGACCTTCCATGCTGAATGACATTTTCTTAGATCTTCCAAATACAGTTGCTGATTTTCCATCACCCAAGCATGGTGTTTTAAAAATCTGCTAGAGAATGGTCATAAATTAGATATATTAAATGTAAGGGTGCAGGAATATTTTGAGTATGTTGTGACAGATGGATATCATGTCTTTCCTCTTTTAGGGTGGTTGGTGGCTTTGAGACTCTGACTGCTATGGAGAATGTGGAAAGTGACCCAAAAACAGACCGTCCCAAGGTACGTGTGAAGCACCAGGGGCTGTGGCCTCGCATGGCAGTGCTCCTCACCCTGCTGACACTTCTCAAAACTGAATTTGGGGGAGATGGCACAACTTAATCAGCAGATGGAATTATTGTTCTACTCTTCTGCTCCCAGGAGGAAATACAAATTCAGACGACGACGGTGTTTGTTGATCCCTATGAAGAGGCTGATGCACAGGTGAGGATGGTTGGTTGGCTGGCTGTTTTATTTGAAAGGCCAAAGCTCTTCTGTGGAGAACTTTGTAACTTAATGCCTTTTCTTTGAACATGGGCAGCCCCTGGCCCATATGGTTGCCAGCTAAGGTTAAGCAGCTGCCATTCAGCAGTGCCTGGTGTGCCAGGATCATCATCACTCTTTCGGTGCAGAGTTACCCTTGCAGCTGAGTCTGGCACGGTGCCCAGGCCATCAGCTTCCCATGGCTTCCTTTCAAATGCCCACTCTAGCTCTGGGTAGCTTCAGGTAAGAAGGAAGGACTCTTCCTGTAGGTAGCCTGTTTGCAGTGGCCATTGAAGGTGTCTCCTGAAGCCTGCCCTGTAATCACCGCGGTGCCGATTGCTGGGTTAGAGTGCTTAAAGCTTCAAAGAATTGTAGACCTTTTCTCCTTTGTCTCCTGCAACAGATTGCATCCTTTGCTTCCCACAGGTCACTGCTGAAAGAGAGAAGTTCCAGCAGGAAGAAGAAGCAGCCAAAACAAAAGCTGAGGTGGTCCCACCACAGAAGGAGGTCCAGGCTCCTAAAACTTACCGGCAGGGGATTGGAAAATACATCAACATGGCTGCAGCGTGAGTTCCCTGCCCATCTGATCTTGGCTGAGTGTTTTAGGTTCTTTTCCTGCTGGATGCTGACTATGTTCAGTGCCATTGCTCAGATGTTTGGTTTGTGCCAGCAAAGACATCTTCATGTAGTCCTAACAGTCAAGAGTTTCCTCTCCTGTTGTTTTTCAAGATTACAAGTTAACTGAGCATTTCTTTTAGCACTTGAACGTGACCAAGTTGGTCTTTAGCAAGTTGGCCTTTAACAGCATGTACTGACTTCAGAACTGTAGATATATTTCCAGAACTCAGAAGTCCTTGAGGAACTAACTGTACAGTGTCACTTCCCACACTATCTGTTATCCTCTTCCTTTTCTGAAGGCCATGGTCCCACAGATGTTTTTCATTTAGCAACTTCTCCCCTGCACAAAGTAGTTTCCCTAAGCCCCCATCAGTCTGCTGATCTGGTTCCCTGTTCAGCCACACAAACAGCTGAACTGGAAAGGGGAGCAGGTTCCCAGGCCTGCTGTGGGAGCACAGGGTGTCTGGTGAGTAGCTCCTGGTACCCGGCTGGTTGGACAGGCTTATCCTAAAGCACCCTCTCCCAGACACCCTTTGTACTCCTGTCAGGATTGGCAGCACTGTTTCTTTCCTAAGGACACTACAGAATCCTGGCTGAGCAACAGCTTAGCATGTGTTTGGGAAAAATTAAAATAAATGCCTTCCACTTGATTTTTAGCAGACTTCTCTAAAAGCATTTGTGAAAGTGTTGTTGTCTGTCTGCATAAAGGCCTATATTTATGCATACACAGATCTGGGCAGCTATTTAATCAGTTTGTGTGTGCCTCTGTGACTTACAGGCATTTGCATAACTGTGAGAACAGAAATATGTTAGCCCAGGTGGGTCAGTTTGGTGCGTCAGTAAAATGTTTCATTTACGAAATACTGCTTGTCCCTTAAAATATGTTCAACTTAAAACTGCTGCCATGTTGCACTGTATTTACAGAGGAAACACTGGCCGAGCTTGTGGCTCTGTGGAAAGGACCAAGCAGTATAGAAAGGACCTTCAGTCCTTGCAGCCTGCCTTGACACTGGGAGTTTGTCCACACAGCCCTTTGGCAGGTTCAGGGTTCTCTGTTCTCCCTGTCATCTACTGATACCTGACAATAAAACCAGAGCACATGAGCTGGCTGCATGTTTCCCTGGGGTTGCAAACTCTGCTCAAACAGCAGCAGCAGCTGCAACAGGTTGGGCTTGAGAAACAGGAAAGGATCTGAGAAGCTCGCCCAGCTGCTTTATACCTAATTCCTCATGAATCCATTCGCTGCCACAAGTGCAGGTGAGAAGGTGTAGAAGGAACTCGTGGCTCATGTTTTCATCATGACCATGATAAAAAAGTACAGCTGGTAAATCTTCAGCTCCGGCCTGGAGAACTTAATGTGCTTTGAACACATTCCTGGAAGTGTTCAAAGCCTGACCCAAACCATGCCCACAGACTCACACACTCTTTCTGGCCTTGCCAGGGGCCCCCATGTCCAACCCCCTGCAGTCCCCGTGCTGGCACAGAGCTTGCACTGCTCTCTGCTCGGCCAGGGATGGGCTAGTTCTGGTACAGCTGTTGTTGGGGAGAACAGGCATCCAGCTGCCCTGGTCCTGCTGAAGAGTAAATAGTCCCTGAGAGTTGTTTTCGTTTTGGCTCCAGGAAGCGCAGCGCAGAGGAGGACGGGCCCTCGACCAGCACAGCTGCGAAGAAAGAGAAAAAGAGCTCAGGCTTTGGGGACTTCAGCTCCTGGTAGCAGCACGGGGAGCCCAGCACTGGGGCAGCACAGCAACAACAGAAAAGGAGCCTCCCACGTGTCCCCAGAGAGCCTGAAAGACAGTCTGTCCTGGGGAGGGAAGGCACTGGCCTGCCCTTCCCCTGGGAAAGAGAACTGCTGCTTTGTTGAGGCCGGTTAATGTGGCTTTGTTTTCTAGAGAGCTCGTCCCCCCACGCTGCATCTTCCTCGAAGGCCGTTGTGTTGTTGTTTTGCGAAGCAGGGGCAGGCAGCCCAGCTCCCCAGGGCTCAGCTGGAGCCTTTCTCTGCATGGCTGGCAGTGGCCCAGGCAGAGCCCAGCCCCACAGGACGCTGCAGGGAGCAGGACGGGGGTGAAAGAGCTCCTTTCACAGGTAATGATCCCCAGACCGGCCGTGTGCCAAGCAAAGGAATGAGTGAATGTGCTGGGAAGTGCCTGTGCTGCTGCAGGGCTCTGTGCAGGGGCCCCAGCCTGTCCTACCCTTCCCTTCCAGCTGCCTCTTGCTGCTTCTCAACAAGGACCAATTTTGTCTCTTGCTCTTTGTGGGCCTGCTGGGATGGTGCCTTGGTCTCCAAAGGGCCTCGCTGGCTCCACAACGAGCTCTCTCTGAACCTGTTAAAGTGTCAACAGCCTGGGGGAAGCTGCAAATGTAGATGGGGATCCTGGGGTAACTGCACCACTTGTTGCTCCCAGTGGCTGCCCTTCCCTGAGCCACTGGACAGCCAGAGGGGCCAGGATGCACCAGCTGACACCTGCCCTCAGGTCCCAGAAACTGCAGCCTGGAGCAACTGAGCAGGAACAGAAAGAACCGTCCCTAAGGCTGCTCCTTGCAGGGGAACACAGCCCGTGTCTGCCCTGACATCAGGCTTCCCATCACTAGGGAAAACCATATAATAGAGCTGGCAGGCATCTCGGATATTTCCGTTTCATGCCCACAAATTATTAGGAATCTTAATAAAGCCTTATGGAGTAAAGGGATATCAGCCTGTGAAGTTTTAGTCCCAAAACATCTGTGTGTTACCTTCGCTTAGATGTTGCAGGCTCTGTCCTGAATGTTACTTTGGAGTTCATCTTAGGTGTTTTCAGGTGAGAGAAATGCCCTTCCTACCTCCTGTGTGGCTGAGGAGAAAGTTTTGTAATCCCCTTTGGAACAATACATTTGTATCGGTGGTTTCATGTTTTAAGAGAAGACTCCACTTATATAAAATTGCTGTAAAAACTTTTGGTAAAATATTTTGCATTAAATGCTTTTATTTTCTTTTGAGTGCTTGCCTTCAACTGTTCAACTATCATTTCCAAGATCATGGCATTGCAAAGTTGATTGTTGTACAAGGAAATGATTCATTCGTGCTTTTTAAGATGCTCGTAAGGAACTGGGATCTCTGCGGATATGATTGCATCTTTGTTAAATCATAGGAAGTTCAAACTAGTTTGAAAGAATAATAGGGGGGGTTGTTTTGCAACATTTTTGAGCAACTAAGTTTGAAATAACATGTTTGATTACTGGAACAGGGGGTATGATGGTACTTTCCTAAAGCTGAGTTTATTCTGTCCTATTGGAACCTCTTGTTTCTACTGGGCTGGCCTTTTCAGGATAAATTGTTATTGATTCCTTCTACCTAACTTGTACTTCAGCACATTTTTGAGTCATCAAGTTCACAGTATTGCTAGAGCTGGAATAGTTTCTTGAATCCATAAACGTAAAATGCTTTTTTTGTACTAGATTAAAATGAAGATTATTATGAAGGAAAGGAGCTTTTGATTACAAGGAAGGCAGCAGAGGTGTGGCAAGGATTCCCATTTCAGCAAGTCCTTGCTGCAGATTGATCCAAGGTGGCAGATGCCCATACCAGGAGCAGAAGTTCAGCAAAGCAGTGAAGGGCTCAAGTGCACCAAGTCACGGCCAAGCCCTCGGAAGGGAGAGGAAGGCTGAGCGTGCTGGAGCAGGCGGGTGCCGGAGGGGCCGTGCCACTGGCTTGGTGGGTGCAGAGGGCTCTTGCAGCCCCCCAGGCACAGGTGACCCCAGCATGGGCCTTGTCAGTCCCCTTGGCTCTTGATGGAGTCACAGCATGGCCGTGGCCACCCTGCAGCTGGCAGATAAGCCCCACACTCAGGCGCTGGGTTGGAAGTATCGACTGTTTCTGGGATCCTCCTGCAGCCCCTCACCAGCAATGTTTGGAAGGAACAGGATGTCGGAAACCTGGCACAGGAAGCAGCTTTTAAAAGCAAGAGAGGGGATTTGCCAAACACCCCCCAGGTTCACACTGTTTGCTTTGGAGAAGGCAAGCAAACTCAATCAGACAGGAAGGAGGCGGGCAGCGCCTGCCCCGGCCGGCAGCACTTACACTACAGGGTGCAGGCAGAGAGTTCTCACTTCCTCTCTTTCTTTGGAAAGCATGTTTGTTATCACAGCCCTGGTGCAGGATTTAACCACCCTGTGCTGTGACTGTGGGGAAGGGGCCAGAGCCAAGGCTGTGCTCAGAGCTCAGGGAGCACAGAGCCCCTTGCTCTGGGACATAGGTGGATCCATGGAAACGACATCCAACCCCTCAGCTCAGACCTGGGTATCCCATCTCTGCCACCCACAGGGACCAAGATTCCCACTGCAGTGCAAGGCTGGGACCAGGCTGCAGAGCTGGGAGGGGCAGTGGGATGCCATCACTCCCTCCTGCTCTGCCACACAGCCACCAGTGTCCACCCATCCCACACAGTGCTTTAGCTCACTGACCTGACACAAACAGCCAGCAGTGGGTTTGCTTCTTGGGCCTTAAACCCTGCAGCAGAAAACTCAAAAAACCAAAGGGAGCTCAATGGGTGGATAAGTGAAGGGAGGGGAGGGGAAGGGAAGGGGAGGGGGAAGAGCTCCCAGTTGTATCAGCCTGTTCACCTCCCTGCTCCCACAGCCCCCACCTCCCCCACGTCCTCTGGGGAGCCCAGGTGGGGTTTGGGAGATTCCAGCTGTGGCTGCTGGTGCCCAGCAAGCAGCACTTGTGGCCATGCTGCTCTGTGGCCAACCACAGTGTGTGTGTCCCATGCTGGTGGAGCTGATGGGCACAGCACAGCTGTTCCCAGCCGAGAGCGTGCGTGGAAATGTGTGCAGGGATTTTTAAACAAAACACGTTGTGACCATGGCCCCATGAGGGACATACCCACTGAAGAGACATACTGCTGTTTGGGACAAAGCTGGGGCCGTGGGGGGAGAGCTGAGCCCAGGAGGCACTGCAGTTAGGCCATGCTGACACTGTTCTGCTGCAAACCTGAACCCCACTGAACTCAGCCCTGGTGCACAGGCCTGGTGGGCTCTGCAGAGCGGGGGCTGCACACGGGGCCTCGCTGGGGCCGGCACTGACTCACCCTCCGCTGAGCTCAGTGACTTCATCTGCTGGAAATAGCAACCAAGGAGGAATCATCTCTGTCACTGCCATACCCGTGCACACACAGGCACTGGCTGCTGCCTGCACTGCTGCCTGCACCCAGCCCCAGCTCCAAGGCAGGAGCAGCCCCTCCAGTCAGCCCCATGCTGGAGCTGCTCCACACAGGACAGCACAGGACAGGATGGTGCCCGTGGCTGCACGGGCTGACAGCACTCGACCGCTGCCAGCCCTGTGAGGGTTGGAGCAGGAAGCTGCTGCAGGAGTTGGTGAACTCAAGGGGTCTCAAGGCCAGAGAGCTGTATCCATGCCCCTGCTCATACAGCACAGACAGTGCAATTTGCACTCAGCAAGTTGCACTTAGCTCCAGAAAAGGCACCTGGCTCCCTGCAATGGCTTCCACAAGAAAGGGTTCCCACAGCTCCCCCGGGAGCGAAGCAAAGCCGTGGCAGCAGCTGGCAGTGGCTGTCTCAGATAACAGGGCCACTGCCCAGGGCTCTTGCTCTTATCACTGGTGAGAAGAGTCTTCCTGGGGTTTGTACTGAGCCAGCACACAGCAACCCCCAGACAGCCCAACTATGGCTCTGCCACAAGGGCCAGAGTTGTTGGAGCTCCCATGGGGGCACCCTGTGAGTCTCCACCCTGAGCTTTCCCAAGGGAACAGTGCTGGGATGGGGTTGTGGTGCTGGAGCCAGGGTGGAGGGCTGGTGTGGGCACAAGGCAGGTGTTGCCTCCTTCCCAGCCCCTCTCCTCTTTGTGATGCCATCGAGAGGCCAAATCTTCCCTTTTACACAGAAAAAAGGCTCATCAGCAATCCCAGCAGGCTGGGTTTGACAGCTCATAACTTTATGGCTTTTAAAAAATAGCCACGGCCTGTTTTAAACACTGGTCAAGGTCTCCTCTGCCCTTCCCCCTGGAAAGCTTTCCCAGCTCTCACTTTTCTGATATTAGATACTTTCTCTAATCTTTGGCCTTCATTTATTAATGGCTAATTATATCTATTTGCTTTAGTGCCAACATTGTCCTCTAGCTTGAATAGCTTTCTTGCCTCCCTAATGCTTGCTTCCTGGCACTATTTATAGGCAGCAATTGTATCCCCCCGCAGCCTCTGTTGTGCTTGGCTACACAGGCTCTGTGCCTTCAGCCTCCTCAAAGGACCCCATTGCCCTCCTGCCTCCATCCCTGTCCCCTCCTCGACTGGATGGGGTCAGACAGGTGCCCAGCCTGTCCCTGGCTCTGGCAGAAACCACTTAGATGTCAGCACTGGCCGTGACGCTTTGGGGCAGGAGCTGGGGCAGAGCCTTGTGCCTTCAGGGAGTCCTGTCAGTTATTTTTTTAGACAGCCCCATGGGTTTATTTTTTTAGGCAAATGCAGGGATCACTCCAGGGTCCTGTTTGCCTTCCCTGTCCCTCCTATCCCATTTCTCTCAAGGGAGAGTGAGTGCCCACCAAGGCAGCGCAGGGAGTTGTGTGATTCCTGTCTGCGCTTTCATCCTGGATGAAAGGGATGCTAGAAAACATTTGTTTTTATGATAAAAACAATTGACCCAGGAGGAATCTGCCTCACCAGGATGGCCTGCAGCAAACTGTGGAGACGAGGCACAACATGCAGCAAACATCACGTGCTTCCAAGCCTCGGAGCAACTGCAGAGCAAATCCCTCTCCACGTGGAAGGAAACCCACACTGGGCTTCCACGGTTGCTCCTGAGCCCAGACAACACAGCCAGTGATGGTTTTAGTGGATTTTGTTGGGAAAGGGAAGACCTGCAGAGGACATTGTTTATTTTTTTTTTAATGAATGCCCGGATTTTTTTATTGCAGACATCTTCACCATAGATCTCAACTGAGCTTTTAATAGATGGGTTCCTCGCCAGCGGCAATCGCAAATTGATTGCAGCAGAAATGGCAAGTGAAGACAAATATAGTGCAGGGCTGCCTGCAGGGAGAGCACGGGGAGGAAACTTCGGATGCTATTTTTGGTGTTTTGTCTCCACTGCTTACAGTATTTCTAATCTTTGTTTCTCCTTAAAAACATGTTTGGGGGTGGGATGTTTTTGGGTTTTTTTTCCTTGTGTTAAAAAAAGTTCCATTCTCTGTAGAAAAAGTTGGGTGGCCATGTCCATGCCCAGCTCTGCAGAGCTGGTGGGTGCCATGGCCCTGGTTGGTGTGGCAGGAGGGTGAAGGTACACTGGTGATGCTGCCTCCATCCCCTCCCCTGTGACCAGAACCAGGCCCATCTGTCCCAGGCACTGCACAGAGATGGGGAGGGGAGTGCCAGGGGTCACTCAGGGTGCTTGGCAGAGCAGAAGAACACTTCAAGTTATTGCTGGGCTTGGGGAGCCAGAGCTGGGTGACACTGGAGTGATGTTAAGGGCTTTATGGCCCTGATGTGCTAAACTTCTCAGCCCCAGGGGATGATCGGGATGGTGCAGACGGAGGCAGGTTCACAGGCTGACAAGCCTCTGGTGCAGAGGTGTCTCTCTGATGCTCGTGGGTGTGAGAGACAAGGCTGTGGCCAGAAACAAAGGAGCAGAAATGCGAATAAAAAATCTGTGTTTAAGTACAGAATAGTGAAATAAAAGTGGATCATGGCAGGGCTGGCCGTGACTGCAGGAGCCTTGGGAGCCTTGGTCCTGCACAGCCAGTGTCTGCCTGGTAGTCTGGGATGTTTGCAGCAGCAGTTCAGGGGAGACTATCACCTCGCTGAGGACCTGACAGCATTTCAGACCATGGGATAGGTTTGTGTTGTCTATGTGAGGAGGCTTCCTGGTATGAGAAGCCCCAGATGTTCTTCTGCCTCCCTGTTTGTCCAGACCATCTTCTGCCTTGATTCGATCAATCTGGCATTCACTAAAAAATCCCTCTATTTCCCGTGTTTGTTCTTAAATAACAT